TTGTCCATTTCCTCTAGGTTTTCATATTTGTTTGAGTATAGTTTTTCATAATAGTCTAATGTTAGGTTTTTTTTATTTTAGTTGGTTCTGTTGTAATGTTGCCTGATTCATCTCTTATTTGGATTATTTGTGTCTGCTTCTTTTGTGAGTTTTGCTAATGGTTTGTTGATTTTAATGACATTTTCAATGAACTGACTTCTAGTTTTGTTGATAGTTTCAATTGTGTTTCAGTTTTCTATTTCATTTATTTCTGCTCTAATTTTCATTATTTCCGTTTTTTTAGAGGGTGTCGGGTTTTCTTCCTGTTTGTTTTTTTCTTTTTTCCAATTTGCTGGAGATGTTGGGTTAGAGAGTCAATGGTTAATTTTTCCTGTTATTTGATGTGTTCGCTTGTTGCTATAAATTGACCCCTGATTACTGTTGTAGCTGTTTCCCAGAGATTTTGGTAAACTATGTTTTCATTGTCATTTGCTTCAAGACACTTTTTAATTTCATTTTTTATTTCTTCTAGTACCCAGGCATGTTTAAGCAAGTTGTTGTTTAACTTCCAAATTTATGGTTTTCCCCCCTTTATCTTGTTAATAATTTCTAGTTTTGTGGCGTTGTGGTCTGAGAAGATACTTTGTATAATTTTTATGTTTTTTAATTTGTTGATGCTTGCCTTATGACCTAGAATGTGATCTATTCTGGAGAATGTTCCATGCACATTGTAAAAGAAGGTAGACTGTTTGTTTGGGGGGTGTATTAGCTTATAAATATCTATGAGGTCGAGTTGGTTTATTGTGTGGTTTAATTCTTCAATGTCTTTGTTGAGATTCTTTCTGGTAGTTCTGTTTTTTCTTCAGAGGGGTGTATCGAAGTCTCCTAGTACTATAGCAGTGTTGTCTATTTCCTTTTTCAGCTTTGTTGATGTTTGTTTTATATATTTTGCAGGTCTTTCATTTGTTGCATAGATATTCAATATTGTTTTATCCTCTTGTTCTATTGACCCTTTGAGTATTATGTAGTGGCCTTCTGTGTCCTTTGTGGTGGTTTCTGCATTGAAATTTATTTTTTCAGATACTCATATCGCTACTCCTGCCTTTTTTTTTTCATTGCCATTTGCTTGCCATATTTTTTACCATCCTTTTATTTTTAGTCTTTCTTTATCTTCATTTTTCATATGTATGTCTTGTAGGCAACATAATGTTGGATTTTTTTTTAATCCAATCTGCTACTCTCTTTCTCTTCAGTGGTGCATTTAAACCATTCAATGTGATTATTGAAAAGTAAGGTTTTATCGCTATAATTTTGTTAAATTCTTTTTGGAATTGTTGCTGGTTATTTTAGTCCATTCTGTTTTCTGTGCCATCTCTTTATGAAGGACATCTCTTAGTGTTTCCTCTAAGGCTGGTCTTGTTTTTATGAACTTCCTTAATTTCTGTATTTCTGAGAATACCTTGATCTCTCCTTCATATTCGATGGACAATTTTGCTGGGTACATTATTCTTGACTGACAGTTGTGTTCTTTGAGTGTTTGATATATGCTGTTCCGTTGTCTTTTTTGCTCACTTGGTTTCTGCTGAGAAATTGGCACTTAGTCTTATGTCTTCTTCCTTATAGGTTACTGTTTGTTTCTCTTTTCCTGCTTTCAGAATTCCCTCCATATCTTTGGTTCTGGCAAATTTGAGAATGATGTGCCTTGGTGTTTTTCTTTTAGGTTCTATTCTTTCTATATGGTGTTCGGTCAGCTTTTCATTCTTCATTATGCCTGGAAAGTTTTCCTCTCATAATTCTTCCACAACTTTTTCAGTGCCTTTAATTGTTCATTTCTTTTCTGGGATTCCGATGATGTGAATATTATTTCTTTTGATGGTATCCCACATTATTCTTAGGTTTTCTTCTGTTTGCTTCTTTTTTGATTCTGCTTTTCGTTCAATCAGATCTGTAGTGACAATTCTGTCTTCTATTTCACTGAGTCTGTGTTCTATCTCTTCAACTCTGTGTCCCTCTATCATGTTGACAGCATCAGAAACCTTAAACCTCATATTTTGGATCATGGTTTCTTGTTTTTTCAGTGTCTCCAATGCCTCGTTTGTGTTATCTGCATTGTTTTGGACTTTTTTTTTAAGCTCCCCCTGATTTTTGCTTTCAGTGTCCTGTAATTCATCAAATTTGTTTTTCATCCATTTGAAAATATTTAGTCATTGTTGTTTTAAATTCTGAGTCAGAAAATTCCATCAGACTTTCTGGTTTCAGGAAATCTATTGCTATTGTGTCTTTTTTGGGGGGGGTGATACCTTGCTTTGTGTTTGTGGGGCAAATGAAGTACCTTGCTTCTTTCGGGACATTGATGTGGTAGAGTTCTTCATGTCTGAGGGTGGTAGCTGGTTTTTGATTTGACATCACTTCTCCAGGAGTAGATTGTGCAGGAACATGAGCAGATGCATGTAGGGTGCGTGCACACTCGTATGCTTGCGTGAGTGGGGAGGGGAGAAGCACACACTGATACATGCAAGGAAGGGTACGGGGGACCTAAATAATGAAAGACGAAGTCTGTTGTTCCCTTTCTGAAATGGCTTCCCACCTCTTTGGAGATGCCCAGGATATCCCTGTTATTTGAGTTAGGGGGCTCCATGTGGTCAGGCCAGACAACAGTTTGTTTCCCAAAGTAACTTAATCCTTTCTGATACATGAGTTTTTCAGGGGAGGTTGATAAATCTTATAGATTTGGTGTATGTATACTTGTCTTCCTGTCCCTAGAAGACCTCTGGCCAGGCCCTTCCTCATCTGGCCTTGCAGGCTTCCTGCCAAAATCCAGGTGTTTTTTTTTTTTTTTTTAAATATAGCACTGCCCCACTAACTGCTGGGACTTGTAGTTTTGTACCTGCATGCTGTAGGTAGAGAGGATGGGGGAGGCTGTGGGAAGAACCCTGGCTCGGTTCTCCCTCATCTGTCCTCACAGGCTTCCCACTAAAATCCAGTTTTTTTAAGGATGGTGCTGCCCCACCAACTGCTGGGACTTGTAGTGTTGTACCTGTATGTTGTAGGTAGAGAGGATGGGGGCGACTGTGGGAAGAACCTTGGCCCAGCCCTCCATCGTGTGTCCTTGCAGGCTTCCCACCAAAATCCAGATTTTTGATGATGGTACTTCCCTCCCGACTGCTGGGACTTGTAGTTTTGTACCTGCATGAAGAACCCTGGCTTGGCCCTCCCTCGTCTGTCCTAGCAGGCTTCTCGCCAAAATCCAAGTTTTTAAAGATGATGCTGCTTCACCGACTGCTGGGACTCGTAGTTTTGTACCTGCGTGTTGTAATTAGAGAGCAAGGAGGTGGCTGTGGGAAGAACCCTTCCCCTGATCTTTTGAAAGAAAAGAGAGTGTTTGGAAGGAAGAGGAATGAAGTTTTCTACGAAGGCCAGAGAATTGAACCTGCAGAAGGGTCTTGGAAAGGGGGAAGCAGGAATAAGAGGGGGGAAATTGATGCCTTTAAATTGTAGTATTGGAGAAGAGTAGTGAATATCCCGTGGATTGCCAAAAGAACAAAGAAGTCTGTCTTGCAGAAAGTACAACCAAGAGGCTCTTTAGTAGCAATAATTGGTTTTCAGTACTTTGGGCATGTTGTCAAGAAAGTCTAGTGTATGGGAAAAAGACATCATAACTGAGAAAGCTAGAGGGAAAGACCCACAACAAAATGGATCGACACAGTGACTGCTACAGCAATGGGCTCGATCATTAAAGAAATTTCTGGGTTGGTGCAAGATAGGGCAAGGTTCAGCTCTATTGTTTATAGGGTCCCAGGGTTTGTAGAATCTCAGTGGATTCAGTGGCACCTAACAATAACATGATTTGATTGAGGAGCTCTAGTGGGAATGTGGAGAGATGTTGCTCCTCCACTGGAGATGGGTGGACAGTCTCTTCTTAGAAACTCTTACAACCTTGGAAATCTCTTTGAGCATTTCTGTGATTCTGAATCATCTCAACAATAATGAATTTATGGTTTCATTAAGATAAAATGATAATTTTCTTGGTTTGGGTTTGTGTGAGTATGTATGTGTGCACACTGTTGTCTTTTGGGGAAAATCGCGTTAATTTGTTAAAACATTTAGAAAATTTAAGTTATTATTGTGTGTAATACAGGATAAACCATGTAACTTATGCTATTATAAAACCTTTATTTTCCCCTTCTGTGAAATACAACTTAACTCATTGCTCTTATGCCATATCCGTCTCATTGTTGACCCTCTGGCAAGTTTTCAGAACCTGTATATGACATAAAAGATTATTGCCCATCTCTCTCCCACAGAGTAGCTGATGGATTTGAACTACCACCTGTTGTTAGCATTAGGCCTTACCCCATTAGGCCACCAAGAAGTTAATGCACATATATGTGTATTGAAATTGTGAAATCCCATTTGTTATTTTTTCATTTTATCTTGTTGTTGTTTTTTTTTTTTTTTTTTATAGAAAATACTACAGTTTCTACCTGAACGCATTTTCTTTCGATGGCATTATCAGAGTATAGGTAAGAACTAAAAAACTAAAGAAACTTGTTTACAATTCTTCTAATTGTTTTTTCAGTAATTTTTCCCCACCATTGAGCCACTAGGGTATTGATGCCTTATTTTGTCTTTTATAATGAAACAATCATGGTTACTAGTGCATTTACTTTTTCTTGTAATTTTTAATTAGCAATTTGCTTTCAATCTATTGAGCTTCCTTTAGTATTCTTTTAAGATACAGTAGAATAATGGTCAAATAACATCAGAGGTCCTAAATCCTCTGATGGGACTGTCAATCAAGAATCTAAGAGCTGCATAGTAAAGTGGACAGGGATGGAGGTGGGGAATTTGACAATGATGAATTTTTTTTTCCAAAGAGAACTGGGAGGTGGGGATGGAAAGGGAATTTGTTTTTACCTTTATTAGGAGTATTCTTGGCTTACTGCCTTCACACTACCTAGGATAGCCTCTGACCAGCAGCTCTCTCTGAGGCCTCCCCAGCCAGGCCACACCTTCTCTTCCTAAAGCTACAGGATGTTCCCAAAAGCCCTTCTGACTTCCTCAGAAGTGCATTCCTGCCAGACCAGGATGCAGGTGTTCATGCCTCCATGCTTACCAGTTGATGACTGAGACTGATGTCCTTGACATTTGAGGCCAGCTCACTTGGTACATTTCCAGTGTCTTCTCTGTGTTCCATACAACTCATCTCCCATCATAATTTTTAATCTACTTCATTCTTTGCCTTGTGGTAATCCTCAAGTCCCTGAGATATATGCTACCTCCTGAGCACTTTCTTTCATCTCCTTGGCTATATGACACCTGATTTTTCACAGAGACGCCTTTCTTTGTCTCACTTGACGTATTATAAGTATTATTCATGCTTTAAAAAATACTTTATATAGATTTACTTACAAAGTTCATATACATTTTGTTTCACAGTATTCTTCATTTACGTTGTGTTTCATACAATGATTCCCATTCATTATGTTTTATATGATTAATCACCATTGGACTTTGCTCACTATTACCCTTTCTTTTCGGGCCCCCACCAGATCGTTCCCATTTCAGTTACCACTTCTTCCATCCACCAAGGTGTGCTTTTGTCCCCACCCATCCTCACTCTGCTATTCCCACCCTTCCCTCTTTTTATCCCATTTATATTTTCCTATTTATCTTTTTATTTTTACAATAATGGCCTTATGCAGTATTTGTCCTTATGAAAGTGAGTTCACTCAGTATAATGCTCTCCAGTCTTTCCAAAGTTATGCAGTATTTTTGGAAATCGTTTCTCCTGAGTGCGATTTCTCAATCCATTCAATTGTGGTTGGACATTTGGGTTGTTTCCATGTTCTTACAGTGATGAATAAGGTACTATGAATATAGGTGTACAATCTCTGTTTGTGCCTCAGTTCTGATTTCCTTGGGGTATATTCACAACAGTTGCTGATTGCCATCGAATTGAGCACGACTCATAGTGAACAAAAGGCCTGAAGCACTTCCACAACCATCACCATTTATCAAAGTTCACAGAGTTTCCAGAGGCATGCTATTTAGGAAGTGGATGCCACTCCTGCTTCCAAACCTGTCTTAAACTGGGAGCTCCACCAAACACTGTCCACCATGGGTTAACAGTTATGCCATTTGACACCCCATTGGCACAAGGTTCAGCATCACAGCAACCCCATGTTACCTCAGTACAGTATACTGACAGAAGAGTGCTGTACCCTTAGAAGAATGTTCCTCCAAAATATAATAACAACCAACTTTTAAATACAAAGGCCCTCCTTGAGATCTTGTTGATTCTAAACATGAGGCTTAAATAAAAAAAAAACCAATAGAGTATGTTTTTGTTGTTATGTGCTGTTGAATCACCTGTGACATATAGCGACCCTATGTATAGCAGCCCTGAACTCTTCCCTGTCCTGAGCCAGTCTTACTAACTCCGACATACCAACCTCCATTGCCCCAGTTACTGTATCAATCCATCTGATTTCCTCTCCTGCGCTGTTCGTCCACCCTTCTGAGCATGATGTCAAAGACCAGTCTCTCCTGGCCAGATGCCCAAAGTATGTGAGGTGGAGAATCACAATCCTATTGTCCAAGGAGAGACTTTGTGTCACCTTCTCTAGGACTGACTAATTTGTTTTCTTGGCAGTCCATAGTATGTTCAAGGCTCTTCTCCAGCACCACAACTCGAAGGCATCTATTCTTCTTCTGTCATCCTAAGTCACTGTCCAGCTCTCTGTAGCATAACAAATAATTGGGAAGACCATGGCCTAGATTAGGCATACCTTTGTCTCTAGACTGACATTGTTGTTCTTCAGCACTCTGGAGAGGTCCATGACAGCAGGTTTTCCCAATGTAATTCATCTTTTGATTTCCTGACTGCTGGTGCTAAGAGTGTTGATTGTGATTTGAAGCAAGCTGTTAATTGCTAACAACCTCAATTTCTTCTCCATCTATCATGGTGCTGCCAGTTGGCCCAGTGGTGAGAATCTTTGTCTTCTTGATGTTGAGTTTCAGTCCATACTGAAGGCTGTAGTCCTTGACATTCTGCAGCAAGCGTCATCTGCATTTTGTAGGTTGTTGCTAAGTCTTCCTCCAATATTGATGCCACACTCCTCCTCATAAAGACCTGCTTCCCGAATGATCTGTACTGCATACAGATTGAAAAGGTATCGGATAGGATGCATCTCTGATGCACTCCTTTTCTGATTTTGAACCATGCAGTGTTTCCTTGCTCTGTTCTTAGAACTGATTCTTGGTCCAAGAATAGGTTTCACATGAGCACAATAAAGTGTTCTGGGATTCCCATTCTCCTCAAGGTTAACCACTATTATTTTGTAATCTATACAGTCAAATGCCTTAGCATAGAAAATTAAACAGAGATAAATGTCCCTCTAGTACTCTGCTTTCTACCAAGATCCATCTGACATTGGTGATAATGTCTCTGGTGCCATGGCCTCTTCTAAACCCAGTTTGTAATTATCTGTCAATGTACTGTGTCATTTGTTTCTGAATAATCTTCAGCATATTCTAATATTATAGATTTACTTTTCTCTGGTTCTGTTGTGATGTTAACTCTATAATTTCTTAATCAAGTTATTTGTGTCTTCTATTTTCTTTTGTTATATTTGCCAATGGTTTGTCAATTTTATTGACACTTTCAATAAATAAGCTCCTGGTTTTGTTAATGGTTTCAGTTGTTTTTCTGTTTTCTGTCTCATTGATTTCAGCTCTTGTTGTTATAATTTACTTTCCTCTAGAGGCTTTGGTATTAGATTGCTGTTCTTTTTCTATTTAATGTAGCTTTTGAGTTAGATCATTAATTTGGCTTCTTTCTCCATATTTTTGTGTGTTTACCTATGTCTATAAACTGCCTCCTGATGACTGCCTTAGTTGCATTCCAGAGGTTTTGGTACATTGTATTTTCATTATCATTTGTTTTGAGGAATTTTGTTATTTTATTCTTTATTTCTTCTATACCTCAATATGTTTTAGCAGACTGCTTCCACATGGGTGGTTTTAGAAGTTTTATTCTCTTGTTACTAATTTCTAGTTTTATGGCATTGTCGTCTGAGAAGATACTTTATTTCAGTATTTTTGAATTTTTCGAGACTTGGTTCATTCCCTAATATTTGGCTAATTTTGGGAAATGTACTATGCACTTGAGGATAAAGTGAATTGAGTTTTAGTTGGATACAGTACCTTGAAAACAACCACAAGGTTGAATTGGCTGAATGTATAATTTAAATTTTCTGCATCTTTGTTAAGTTTCTTTTGAGTTGACCTATCCTTTGGCGAGAGTGGTATGTTAATGTCTTACACCACTATTGTGATGCTATTTCTTTCTTACATTCTGTTAACCATTTTTTATATAATTTGCAGGTCTGTCATTAGGTGCATAGATGTTGACCAAGATTATGTCTTCTTGATCTACTGTGCCTTTAATCATTATGTAATGTCCTTCCTTATCTTTTATGATTGTTTCATTCTGAAATCTGTATTTTATCAGAAATTAGTATTGCCACTCCTGCTCTTTTGTGGATGCCATTTGCTTGGTATATTTTTTCCCCAGCCTTTGATTTTGAGTCTGTCGTTTTCTTAATTTCTTAGGTGTGTCTCTTGTAGACAACATATTGATGGGATTTTTTTTTTAAAAAAAAATTCCATTCTGCTGCTCATTTTCTCTTGATTGGTGCATTTAGTCCATTCACATTGTGGTGTTGTTGTTAGGTGCCATTGAGTCAAGTATGATTCATAGTGACCCAGAGAACAAAAGATCGGAACCTAATCCTGCCTGCGCCATCCTCACACTTCCTGACGTACAAGAGCCCATTACAGCAGTCACTGTGTCATTCCACCTGGTTGAAAGTCTTCCTTTCCATCGCCGACTCTCCACTTCTCCCAACATCATGTCCCTCTCCAAGGAACCTCCTAGAAATATGTCCAAAGAATGTGAGGCGAAAGCTCATTGTTCTTACCTCCAAAGAGCACTCAGCTGGACCTCTCCAAGACATATCTATTTGTTCTCTTGACCGTCCATGGGATGTTCAGTGCTTTTCTTCAGCATCACAGCTCAAAGGCATCAATTCATTTTTCTGTCATCCTTATTCATTGTCCAGTTCTCAGATTCATAGCTAGTAATTCGAAAGACTATGGCCCGAACCAGATGCATCTTAGTCCTCAAACTGACGTAACTACTCCTCAATAATTGGGAAAGGCCCATAACTGCATATTTTCCCAGTACAGTGCATCTCCTTATTTCCTGACTGCTTGTAACAAAGGTGTTAATTGTGGATCCAAGCAGAATGAAGCTGTTGACAGTTTCAGTCTACTCTCCATCTATTATGACACTTCCTATTGATCCAGTGGTAAGAATCTTTGATTCCTTGATCTTCTCCAACAAGTGCTTTAATTCTTCCTCACTTCCAGCAAGTAAAATTGTATCGTCTGCATAATTCAGGTTATTGTGAACCTCCCTCCAATCATGATGTCACATCCCTCTTCCTAGAATCCAGCT